ACACAAACCATCAGTAGACCTGAACAAAAACTCTGCGTCTGAACACTCTGAGCAGAGGAGGAGCCCTTATCCACTGATGATTTCAACAATAGTTGAATAGACACAGACAGTTAGATTTCATGGTACTGAATTAATTTTAAATAGACAGCTGTTCTCCCACAGTGAAAACTGAATTACACGATTCTCTTCTTCTGCTGCAACTGACAGCATGATATCAAGTCTTTATAGCAGACTGTGAGGAAGTTCACTCTAGGCTATAAAAGAAGGATCAACTGTAAGCATAAGTACAAGACTCAGCATTATATTATAATGTTATTGGATCAGTGGGTTACTCTAATAATCCAACGGAATCCCACCCGTGACAGGCATTAGGAATAATTATATAGAAATAGCCAGTCTTCTCGCTGATGGTCTTGCTTGTTTATGTAGGTCAGAGGCATCAGTATTAAATTGAGACTGTTTCATAACCAGTTAAAAACTCCTTTTTACGCACGTGTTTTGATCTCATATTATAAATAGTTACCATAAGAAGAAGCATGAGCTAAAAATTACAATAACAAAGGCATTTATCGATTATAACTTCTGCTATTGTATATTACTAAAACAATGTGTTTTACTATATTGTCATTCAGAAATAGTCTATACACTAGTCTCCACTTCTGGGTGTCCACAGCAGGAGACAGAGAGTTTTTGACAAATACATACTAGCATATCTGCTTACAACTAGTCTGAAATACAATGTTACCAAATGTTCTGTCACTTACCACTGTGTAACACACAATAACTCTGTTACATGTACACATGAAGTAGACAGCTCGTGTCCCTCAGAGGTTCACACCAGTGAAGGTGTTGATTGGCAGTGACAGGACTTTGTCCAGATACTTGCTCAACGGCAGCTCTTGCTTGCTGCTGACACCTGACCTGGACCGGATGTTGCATCCTGGGTCCAAGCACGGAGAGATTTCTATCCTGTAAAGGGATGACAGTAAATTGTATTACACTTTAATTTACAGTACAAAAAAAAATATCATCAGAAATGTTGTAGTGTCCTAAATGACCTTTGGACATCAGTGTATGTCCTGCAAGAGTCCTTGTCCAGGCACACAGAGAGTGTTCGATGCTCCAACGTCTTGATGCTGATTCTTCGGGTTTGGATCGTCTATAGTCAAAACAGAAAAGGTTTAGTACGTTTAACAATTTGCATTAAAGGTTCAATTACTTCAACTAAAAATAATCTAACTAGCCCATATTCCTAATTAGAGATAAATAACTTCTTACTGTGTTGTATCCAGGGTTTACACTGTCAAACCTGACAGAAAGGTAATCCTCACCTGGACAAAGTGACAACAATTACTCAGCATTTGTTGTTCTTTGAAGACGTCTCCTTGCATTAAGATGAATCTGTTTTTTAATTTAATATAAATAGAAATCCATAGAAAGGTTAACCTGATGTTACAGTTGCCGGCTCTGATGTGATCACCACGCCATATGTCATCGGTGCCTCTCCATTTACAACTTCTCGTTTGCTTAACAAGGTCTGTTGAGGAGGTAATAGTTAGCCTAAATCCTGCTGCTGATGCTAAATGGAAAGTAATACAATATTAATAATGACTATTAATAATAAGAACTATACCTTTGTATAACTGACTGAGATGACAGCCCCAAAGACTTCTACTGTTGACTTCTTTTGGCGTGCGGAGGGCTTCTCTGTCAAAGACAACACCTTATTTTAAGTAACTATAATTTTGCACAGTCGTGGTAGTATCCTTACACTCACACAAACACACACACACACACACACACACAGAAAGAGATTCAGAAACATACTTGAGGACTTTTCTTTAAGGTGCCTGAACTCTGGGATATCTGCCTCCAGATGACACACAAACACATCCTCCACCACAGAGGTCACATCACAGCTGGAACGGGTCATCTAAACATAATGGTATTTAGTCAAAACAGGAAGTACATGTGTAGCATCAATAAATCAGTGCCACATTTCTTTTGACACAACTGGATGACTCTACCAGTATCTAACAGACTCTACAGTGCAGTGCACACAAACAGTAATGGAAAAGGTATTAAAATTCTTTACTTAAAGCTGCATCAACATATTTCGTTTGTCCACTAAGGGGCAGTGGAACTTGTGTTATGGAGTAAGCTGGAGTTGTGTCTCTGTTCACCTGGTAAAGTCCAATATTCTCTCCTTTTAGCAGTTTTTGTCCTCCACCAAAGAAAAATATAAAATAAACACAACATTATGTCCTACTCCTGTGTATTTCTGCTGCTTCAGTGAAAATATGAAAACCCAACTTTGCTCTGTATCTTCGACATTTGCATGCATGTAAATTTTAATATTTGTACACATGACAGTTGCACTGTACCTTAACCGAATAGATCGGTAGGTTAACTGGCTGCGTCCCACAGCGAAGGTAGTAACACAGGGTGTCCAGTAGAAAGAGGTTTTGCGATGGCTCACTGTGATTAGAGTGCTGCAGTAGACAGAAGGAGGAAAGTATCAGATGAATCATTCAACACAACTGTGTAGCCCACACAGTTGTCCCACTAAATCCTAAAGTGTAGGATTTAGTGGGATCTAGTGGTGAAGTTGCAGATTGCAGGTTCCTTATCAGTCACATCTGTATATAAAAAGCTGAATCTAGTGTACATATACATATATATATATATAACTCTTATTCTTTTTTTCTTATTATATTTTGTATATGATTTTTTTTTATGTGTATTTTCTTACCTATTGTGTTACATTACAGTGTGGGATCAATATAGTCTATCTTATCTTATCTTACTTCACCCTCCCTTTCCAAGTGCGAGAGAGAAATTACAGAGGCTGCAAAAATGCTAACTAGAGACAGTTTTTGGTTTGTCTGTTCTGGGCTATTGTAAAAACATGGTAGTTCAACATGGCGGCCTTAATGGAAGGCGACCCGCGTCTTCTGTAGATAGAAACGGGTCATTATGGTAACAAAAACACAACAATTCTTATTTTCAGGTGTTATAATGTTTCCCACATCACCATGTTAATTTAGCATGTAAGCATTGAAGGATTTCTAATTGGAAGTAAGCACAAAGTACAGCTGAGGCTGATGGGAATTTCATTAGTTTTGCAGATATTTGTCATAAATCAAATTACTGGACAAATTAAAATTTTGAAAACATATGAAAACATACCTATGAATATTATATTACTATGACAATGCTGGTCACTGGTTTGCCCTGAGCTGTTCGCTAAACATCAGCATGCTATTAACATTCAGCCCAAAGCACTGGTGTGCCTAGATACAGCCTCACAGAGCTGTATGGCTGCAGACTATTGCTTAACTCTACGGTTACCATTCTAGCCAGTTTGGAGATTTCAGCTTCCAGACTGTTAATGTTGCTGTTGTACCATGGATCCACTGTTCCCAATAAAGAGGCGAGTGACCGTCTGCCTTCCTCCTGACATGGGCTATCCTATGAGGAATAACAGGCGTTGCAGAGTCTTCCACATTTATACAGTACATTCAATCAGTGTTTCTTTGGGTGACTCAGTGTAACTCACACGTAGACTGAGCGAAGGCTCCGCATCAGTGACTGGGATGTAGTACAACTGTATGTTCAGTTTCTTGGTCAAAATAAGACATTTTGACTCTTTTTCTCTGTTGAGAAATATGTGGAAAACATTAATGGGAAGCTGAATCATTCACAAGTACATACACAATGGAAATTAGAGCTTGAACAATATATTGGCATATTGGCCAATCAGGATATATCGGTATTGTATCAGTATCAGCATGTGTTATGTTCTTTGCGCTGATATGAAAACTATTTTAGAAAAAAATTCTTGTGGTAATATATTTGTGTGACTTCAAAGTTTGTCCAGCAGAGTGCCCTGTGAGCGAGCAGCATAGAGTAAGAGGGAAGAAGCAGCTTCCAGCAATGTCAACAAGAATTGGTTGACAGTGTATATGTTAAACTATTTGACATAGAATATTTAACCTAAATATGACTTAATAATTATCTGTTATAGAAAGCAGCCTTTTGAGTCACTTTGGATTATCATATTGGTGCGATATTGGTGGACAATCCACATAGAAAAGGTCTATATTCATTCTATCTCAAAAATGCACTATATTGGTTGCCGCCATATCGGTAATCAGTAAATTTTTCATCTCTAAAATCAAGATTTGGTCTCAAAACTCCTGTACTCGTCGGGCCCTAATGGAAATACAGAAAAGGTTTTAGTAATATACACCACTTTGCTGTAGCACTATTTGGAAGAAGGTATTCATAAAAATACAGCTGCTCACCGAATAGAGTGATAAGCCCGGGAAAGTCTTCCCAGCACTCGATCGTCTCCCATCACCACTATCCGCGCTGTGTGACGCCTCCTGTCTTCTTTAAGGACAGGAAAGCTTCCAGGAAATGCTTCAATCTTCTCCCTCATTAGGTTCAGTTTATCTGCTGGCTTTATATTCTTAAAGGCATTTCTCCGATTGAATGCTGGCCCACGATTTCTGACTGGAGTCTGCTCTCTGTCATCAAAGTCACTCTCCTTTAGATCTGTCTCTGTGCCACTGTACTCAGATTCAACTGAATGTTGCTTGTCCTTTACTTCTTCATCAACACCAGAGTAAGGGCAGCAACCCAGGGTGAAGTTTGCCAGCAGATTCCCTTCAGGAAAGATACATTGGATCTCTTATTAACAGACATGTAAAGTAGTGGAAGTTTGTTGTTTGTTTGCCTGACTGACTCACATAGATCCTCTTCATATCTCCACATGAGGAAGTTGATCTCTGGAAAGGGCATTGCAGGGCTGCACACAGTACCGGGATCTACCTTGGTTATTTCTGTGCAAACAATGTAAAGACAACACAGCAATCCTGTCAAAATGTCTTATCCCTGCTATTATTAATCTGTACAACAATAGCAGAGTGCAGAACACACACCTTCTTTGGAGGCAGTCAGGATGTCTCTGCATATGTCTTGTAGTTTGTTCAGATAGTTTGCATGACCACCTGCACCATGCTTTATACTCTGCTCAACAGCTAGAACCACTTCCTGAAAATATTTCTCTATCATATGGTCCTCTAAAGCCTGAAATACACAAAAGACACACAGTTTGACTTAAAAGAAGAACAGTGATATATACTAAAAACTGAAGTTAAGAATTAAAATTAAGAGTGTACAGCCATGCTATGCCATGCAACTCTGCTTTAAGCTAAATGCTAATATAAGCTAAATGCCACTAACATGGCAATGTGCTCACAATAACAATCCTGATATGCTAATGTTCAGCAGTTATAATGTTTACTACATTCACCATGATGGCTCTATTTTTTTTTCATACATGTCCTTTTGTCATTTGAGTAGTTTATATTATCCTCAACAGTGCTGTTTTAACATATAAACAAGTAAGCAATTGCATTTTTGGCTATGACCAGTAGGGGGGTTCAGTGAGCCCCCTAAACCTGGAGTTTGTCAAGATAACTCTGATAAGTAAGTCCATCTATGTTTTATGTTCTTAACCTAATGCTGCTAAAAATCCCTTTGTCATGTAACACAGGAAGTCTCTAAGCGGTGTACTGTTGCATATTGTTATCTATACTAGCTGCTGCCAATGGCTAGTTTGCGGTCCTATTAGCTGACTGTACCCAAACTTCGAGCTTGAAGTGCCGTATAGGTTTCTTTACATCACTATAGCATAGGCCAGAATGAGCAGCATAGCCAGAGTCTGACACATTCAGATTCATTACTGCTTTTTTCCGTTATCATTTAAAAGGCAGCTGTTAAAGATCTATATTTAAATTAATTAATTAAAATTAATATAATAAACCTTTGACGACTAGCCGACTATTGGCTTTAGCTAACATAATAATAATAATAATAATAATAAATTATATTTGTAAAGCACTTTTCATAAGAAAATCT